AGAAATCAAGAAGGTATCTGCAAACATGCATGACTCTAGTCTCATTCTGTCCCTAAGCCACTACCTTGCGGAAACCCCTCAGGTGCTGTATTTCACTCATTGGCCAAATGAAGAGTATCTCCTCACACAAAGCTGCTAATCAGTGCCACAAACCCCCACTCTTTGCAAATTAATATCCACCAGATGCTTGACACGACCTCAGCACGAGGACTCCCACCACAGCCTGCTTTGCACAACCCGCATGGCCAAGGACATCAGAGAGCCAAGTGTTGCCAGTATCCCAGCAAGGTCAGCTGGAGATGTGGCACTCACATACCTAGCAGCCACCACAAGAAAACCTGGAGTCCATCCTCTTCATTTAAGCTGGAGTCAGATGCCTGGTGGAGGGAGACACAACACAGTCACCATGAGCTACCATGTCCCTGCAGCTCATTCGGACCTGCCTCTACCTCACTCTTGGTTTGTGTGTTGTGTTCCAAGCAAACCCATAAAGCAAAAGACAGCTCAAGGTCTCACATTCTCCAGAGTTGCTTCCCTGGCTGAACAGAGGTGGTAGCAACTACAGCACACTTTGCTTTCCACTCTGCTTCAGGTAACACACGTGATTCCAGCAAAAATTGTAAATGTCTGATCAAGAAAGTAGCTTTTCTGAAAGAAATGTCCTGACTTGGCCAGAGACCGAACTCTTGGACCACAAAAATAATGAGTGTCACTTAGAGAGCTCCCACAGCCAGCCCATTGGCAGGCTCCTCCATCCCCATCTCAGGCCCTGACTTGGCCAGAGACCGAACTCTTTGACCACAAAAATAATCAGTGTCACTTAGAGAGCTCCCACAGCCAGGCCATTGGCAGGCTCCTCCATCCCCATCTCAGAGATGGGTGTGCAGGAAAGAACAAGGGCTCTGGCCAAGCTCCAGTCAGGTACTAAAACCAGGGCTCTGGCTTGCAGTCAAGACATCGAGGAAACCAGGGCTGCTAGCCGAGGGTAAAACTCTACGTAGTGCAACTTGGCTCAACTCTCTTTCACTGTGGTTTACGGCAAATCAGATTACTCACTTTTGCCACAAGTCTGTATACCATACCAAAACCCCATGCCTGCTGAGAGTTTAGCTGGATTAATACAAAGCAAGGCTGCACAGCACAGACCTTCCCTGGACACCCTGAGAGTATAAACAGCTATTAAATGATGGGGGACTTGGAGGTTTGACAGCCGTGTTTCATTTCCAGTTTCTCAGAGCTGGATTAAGTGCAACCAATTTTCACTTGACCAGTACTTTACGCCATTTTTCTGTCTTCAGTTGACAAGATCAGGCTGTGGGTGCTGACCCAGCAAAAGCCCAAAGTGGTGTGACACAAGGATTTTCTTCTCTCCTTCCTGTTCTCCAAATATATGCACTTTATTTCAGGGGTAACAAAAAGTCACATTGCATGACAACAAGTCTGGAAAAATCTAGCCTGAAAGCCAACAATCTCTTCTGGGATAAAAAAATTGAAGATTTAAGATGGCTGAGTTTTGTTTAAGATTCACCTGCTCCCAACTGCAACGCATTGCAGTAGGGGCAAGAGAAAACAGCTTCTACCTGTTATCTCTGTGGCAAAAAAATAATGGTATATTCTCAGCAAAAAGCAACCTGAACAACACAGGATAAAAAGCATTTGCAATTAAGTTAAATGACATGGATGTGTGCACATCCCTCCCCTCCAAACCACAGGAAAATGAGACCAGGAACAAGTTTTCAGGGAGCAGATCTAGAGCGAGGAGACATCTCATCTCTCCATTAATAGTCAAGCAAAGGGAATTACTGATGAAGGTGCTGACAGCAGTTCCTCCTGTCAATAAGGTTCACAGCTATGACCTCAGGCCCTTTCCAATTCTTACCACTTGCTTTGCAGACATGAAAGTGCAGGTAAAGATCCCCAGGGACACCAGGGCTATGGACATGTATTTAGATACGCTGTATCTGCATGGGAGAGGAGAGAGATGTCAGTGACCCAGCCCAGCCTCATGTTGGTCATCTACCGCTCCCTCGCGTTGCATTTTGCTCCATCACACCAGTGTGAACTTGGGTGAAGGGGCACACCCCCGTTACCTAATGCTGGACATTGCTGGGAGGGAAGGCCAACTTATTCCAACTGCAACACAAAAGAAGCATTTGGACCAAGATCTCCTCGCCTGTGGCCAAGGATCCCTCTCAGATCAAAGCCAGCACTCTGCATAGTGATGGAGTGGCAGGGGATGTGCCCACACTGGGCCAACAGACAGACCCCAAACAGCTGGAAGGACCCTCCTGTCCCGAAGTCTTTGCCCTCTGTGGTGGGTGGATACCAGCCAGCACCCACATAGCCGCTCACTCATTTCCCCAACCTCATGGCATGGGGGAGAGAACTGGAAAAGCAAAAGTGAGGAAGCTCACAGGTTGAGCTAAGAAGTTTAATAGGTGAGGGGGAAAAAACCCAAAATACCAATAAAAACAATGCAAAAGCAATCACTCACCACCTCTCATAAGCATGGCCATCTTGGAAGCCCAACTACCCCCAACCCTCTTCTTCCTCTACCCTGGTTTCTACTGCAGCGCACAACATTATATTACATAAAATATCCCTTTGGCCATTTGGGGTCAGCTGTTCCGGCTGCATCCCCTCCCAACTTCTTGTCCACCCCCAGCCTACTCGCTGAGGAGGCAGGCAGGGTGGGAGAAAAAAAGAAAGCCTTGACACCGTGTAAGCATTGTTCAGCAATAGCCAAAACACCAGTGTGCTGTCAACGCTGTTTTAGCCACAAATCCAAAACACACCACCATATGGGCTGCTATGAAGAAAGTTAACTCCATCACAACCAGACTCTGTACACCCATCAGGAGCGGTACTGGCCTCACACAAGTAAGAGGAACGAAAAGAGCTAACATAGAGGGCTGCAGCCATGTGTAAGCTCTCTCTTCAGTCCATGCTTGCCTTAAATGAAGGAGCGAGGGGTGGTGGAAATGCAGAAGAGGGAACTATTCTACTCTCTAGTCCAAGCACACACAAAAATGTTTAACAGGAAAGTGGAGGGCACTAAACACCAGTCAGGATTAAGTCAGTGGCAAAGCATTCTCTGATGACATAAGAAAGATGCTTGTGATTTACCTTTTCTTCAAAATTATGATACCTAGAGCCATGCTTGCTATGAGAGAGCCCTGGGAAAGAAGAGAGAGGAGGAGAAAAACAAAAGAGAAGGTCAGTATGACAACATTTCCTGGACTGGGATGCCCGCCCCAGAGAAACACCGCAAACTCCATAAAACTAATGCCAAAACACCAAGAGAAATCCCAGAACAGGGTCAGGGAGACTGGCAGAGTGGGGACAGTCTCACTTCAGCTAGGAGGAGGAGAGAAGTTGAGCTGGGTGGCTCGGGAACAAGGATGCTAGGGCAAACAGGCTACTAGGATCTTCTGGCCAGTGGGCCTCCCTCTTTTTTGGCCTACTTAATGACACTCAGTGTGTGCTACAGACCAGAATGTGGCCAAACTGCTGTTTTTAATTGGGAACAGGAGTATGGCTCCAGATTGACTGCAGGGCTGCAATACAAGAACCATCCCTCACGGTTAATGCGGGACAGGGCTCCTAGAGTGTTGTCTGGTTTTCTTTTCAACCTCTCCTGACTTCAGGTATCTCAACCCCATGATGTGTTGTGGGAGAACAACCCCCACCCAGCAGATCTGCCCAGCAGATTTTGTTATTCCCAACAGCTGGGGCTTCATTTTCTTTGGTTTTAACAGATGATTTAGCCTGACACTCATCGGACGCTTAAGTGAAGATGCATTTTTAATAGCATTTTCCAAAGCAAAGGCCTACGCAGTAACAGTGCAGGTGGAACTAGGCCAAATCCATGGTCTCTGAGTTGGGGTGTTTAACCAAGACACTTACACTAGGACATGAACCACTTGGCGTAGCTGTGCAGCGGGAGGGAAAGCTGGGTCCCTTTAGCCAGCAATTCAGCCCATCCAGAGCTGACAGCCAGGATCTGGGCTTAGTTTTGTCATCGTTACTTCCCCATCACCTTGGAAATATAAAGCCAGTTTGAGTCTCAGTTTGCTCATCTGTTCAGGGACATTAAGTTGACATTTAATTGTCAACACCGTGAAAGTGAGAACTGGAGCTGAGCCTTCAGAACAAGTTGCTCTCCCCACATTAGCTGAAGTTTAGTATTTGCACGGGGTTTTGGTGGTGTCAGGGAGAAAGAGGGCGGCAGAACACATGCACCAGGACAGTGCTTGCAGAGATGACGGGACGAGATGTCACACAAGGAGAAAAAGGATGGTATGCCAGTACTCACTGATCTGAAGATCATGTGCAGCGGCATGGCGATATTTAAGTTCAGGGCATAGTTATTCACCACACTGACAGTGAAGAACATGGCCACCATGATGAAATAGTACCTGAAACACAAAAATCGAGCTGACAGTTGTGCATGTACCTCGCTGTGATGCTGGGGGACACCTTGGGAACAGATTATGGGTTGCAAGGAAAGGTCTGGAGCTGAGCAGGAGCCCATCTAGCTCTTGAGTCTGTGACAAGGACTAACAAGTAGATCAATCCAGTTTGGATGCAGTAGGGAAGTCCTCAGAACAGGAAGCAGGCTGCAGGCTGACCTGCGCTGGCTCAGCTTGTGCTAATCCCAGAAGCAAAGGGGAACGGAGGATAGCCCGGCTGGGATCTTTTAGCGTGGACTTCCTTCAGACCCCTCTTTCCTAAGGTCTGTGGCTTAAAACAAGGCTTGACTTGAGGGGGATTCAATTTCTGCCAGCAGACATCACTACCCTGAGTGGAAGGAGAAACTACTCAAATCCAGGCTAAACACCTCCATGGTTCTACACCTAAGATAGAAAGCATCCACAAATCGAAGTTCCTTGCTGCGATGCAGCCACGAGTGGCACTAAACTTGCCCTCAACTTTCTCTCATGAGGATCTCTGTCCCAAGCACTCAGCACAGTACTCTGTTTTGCCATGGGCTAGGCAGTCTGCTAAGGAGCCCCACCAAACCTCCTCACTTCACATCAGCCACTGAGTGCCAGGGAGGAGAGCATGAACATGCCAGGCTATTGCCAGGACAAGTTCAGCCCTGATGGAGAAATGCAAAAGTGAATTTAGCTGGCTTTCCAGTAAACCCCTCCCTGCCCATTGCACCAGAGAGACAGCAAGCTCTTCAAACACAGCAAATTCTTTGTGCAAAACACTGCCCTGTTTCTTGGACAGGAAAATATCTGATGGCAATTTCCTATTAAGAAGTCTCAATAAATGAGGAGTTCATATTTTATCAGGCATGACAGGTTCTCAATGAGGCTTTGGAAATGCTGCAGAATGGACGGGATTTAGACAGGATAAACGGATAAGCCATTTTATTAAACACTTCTTGAGATAATAGATAGCCAGTCAGTTTGTGACTAGCAAAAGCGTGCAAATCAACTGTACCTTATTGGTATGGCCGGCCTCTTCCTCCCAAAGTTGGCTTCGAAGATAAAGCCTTCCACCGCAATAAATAGGAACTGGGAGAATGTCACTATGTTCCCACATCCTGGAAACTGCCTGCAGGCATGGAGAAGAAAAACAACTATAAGAGCAATGCCATGGAGAACAAAAACTGCATTGGGCTCCAATAAAAAGAGGCTAACAGCTCATAATCCCAGAGTGGGCATCAACCTGGAGGGGCTTTACTGCTTTATCTGTCCAGGTTCTCACGTTGCCTTTGTTGAACACTTCCCTGCAGGTATTCATTCACCTGTAGTTGTAGATACATGTGCAGCAATCCCTTCCTCAAACAGTTCCAAAGAGGAAGTAAGCGGCCACTCCCGTCATGGGACAGGTGGTGAATTGGATCAGGAAGTAAAAGAAGAAACTGGTCACATCTCACAGGTCTGTTAGGATCTGAATCAGCAACATCAAGCACCAACATAACCATACTGAGGCTGGATCTCCCTCTTTCTCATGGGGGAGTGGTTTTGATAGAGCTCTCTCCCTACCTACAAGCTGCTGTGTTAGAGGCCAGGTGAAACAATGAGTCCACCTAGAAGGAAGGCAGCAGGATTTCTGATAGCCCTTATTTCTGCTGCATGAGGGAAGGGCCAAGGTCAGGTCCATGTCTGCAGACCAAGGCATAGTGTCCCTGGTTCTGCTTGTACTTCATGCCCAGAACATGAGCTCGGACCTGCTTTCAGTTTACCCAGCAAGCTCTAGCTCTCTGCCCTTCTGCGTTTGCTGGATACCAAAAGATCGGTTGTAGGTTCAAGAAGGAACCTACAACAGCTCATCACTGGAGCCCAAAAAGGTCGTGACATTAAATGCCACATGACAGTCTGGCAAGCCAGGGAGCTTGCTAATGTGACACGTTTTCACTGAAGTTTTCAAACTCCACAAGGTATCAAAAGCCACAAAACAGTGACCTCAAAAACAGACCCTCTTAACTGAGCATCTTTGTCCTCCCAGAGAGACCCAGGCACTGCAGTCATCACTACCTTTGTAGCAGAAATGACACCAGCTTTGAGCAAATCAACCTCGTGTGTTTATTCTGAGGGAAGAGGAATCACAGGCAAAGGCAAGACAGCCCATAACAGCTCGACTTTAAACATTCCCTGCACACTGCTCACCCATTCCCAGCAGACGTGCCTGCTGCAGCCTCTGCCTCCATCCCAAGAAGCTTACAGGGAGCAAGAGAGGATTTCCTGGGAGGCACAGTCAGCTGTGGGCTCAGAGGAGGCTGTGACACATCAGATAATCAGAAAGCTCACTGTTATTTGCAGTGGGAGCCAGAGAAATTTGAGCAAGTACTTCCCCTTTCACTGGTGCAAAGTAGAAACCAAAGCCAAGGACTTGATGCAGAAGCTGCACGCCGCTGAGTCCCGATCCCCACCCTGCCGCACAAGCATGCAGCTTACTCACGCAACATGCCGTCACAAGTAGTTAGAGGCTGGGTCTAGACCCAGTTTTGCAGAATGCAAGCTGAGAGATGCAATGGAGAACAGGAATAACCAAGCTGTCTCCTGGATAACTGAGCTGAAGGTGTGGTCTCCTCAAAATCTCCTCTGTCACCCCCCAGACATCTCAGAAAAAGCAGCAGTGCTCTGGTTAATGCAGAGCTGGCATATGGCTGCCATCAAACAGTGCCTGGCAAGGCCATCTTCTGTCTGCATTTTCCACAGGGCAGGCACTAGCCTGAGCCTCTCCCCTCTACCCACCTGCCGATTTTCACATTTTTCAGAGCTTAATTGTCCATGAGACTTCAATCACTGCTGTGCAATGACGTTAAAAGGTTCAAAAGTTCCTTGAGGGAAGACAAGAAATATTGGAGACAGAGGCCAGGCTCCAGGATTGTAAACCTTATCTCTATAGAACAGAAAGCAAGCGTAAACTTGGAATAAACCAAGACTGTTTCCATGCACTACACTTCGTTTCCTCCCAATTCACAGATCCTTGCATTCAGTCACTTGCTGTACATACGACCTCACATTATCAGTAAAGGGCTGACACAGGGTTATTTGTTGACTAATAATAAAAAGACAAACAAACAAACAAACAAAAACAGGCTGTATGAGCCCATGTCTTTGACTCACAACTCTAACACACTGATAGACCTAAAAGAAGTGACGAGAAGCCTGGATATATCAACCAAAGATCTGCCTTAGCTGTAGCCAAACTGCGAGAGAGTCCTCCAGAAGCAATGTAGAGACATTACGATGCAATTGTCACCCTGCCTCCTAGGACAGAATTGCCTGCTAGTGTCTCACAGCCCTAGCAGATGGTGGGATGAAACAGCTGGAGCGGGGCACTCAGTCACGCCACCGAAGCACAGATGGACTAACCCAATTTCTGCACATCAGTTTGAGGCACGCTGATGCAGAGTACTCTCCTTCAGACAGAATTCAACACAACCAAATCACTTCTCCAAGGAAGTTTTCTTTCCATCTCTCTTAAGAAGACTCCACATATCATAGAGAATTCCTTCAACGGCCCTACAGAAGAACAACCCCCTCCATTTGCACCATAAAGAGAAGAAACCCCACTGAGATCTACCACGCGGAGCCTCAACCTTGTTTTTACGGAGAAGGCACCTCACAAGGGCACAGCTTCAGAAGACGAAGAGCAGATCATGGGCTTTCCAACCAGGCCTTTATCACACACAGAGCTTTGGCATCACAGCTCAAAGACAGACCCCTGGGACGGATAGTAAAGGACACTAGCAGAACAGGTTGGGTTGCTCCAGACAGTGGAAATGGGATGAATTGGATGGTTTCTTGCCCTGTCCAGGTCTCCTTCTGTTATTCAGATTGGGGCTTGTTTAACTTGTTCTTGAAAACCTCCAACAAGGAGTTTCACTGCTCTCTCTCTTACAAACCCACTTCACTATATTGAGAAGGAGCAAACCTGTTTTTTTGGCCTGGTTTACATCCCTCTCATAGCAATTTAAGCCCCTTATTTCTTGTTCTGCCTCCAAAGCCCAGCAGAAACCTTTATCTCCTTTTCTCTGCAGCCATTCTCTACACATTTAAAGTCTCTTGTCTGTCCTCAGGCATCTCTAGACTAAACAGTTCTCATTCCTTCACTCTTTACTCATAAATCCTGAGCAAATTTCTTCCAATCACCTTTGTTATTCCTCACTAGACGGTCAGTCTGGTCACTGCCTTTTCTTGTGATCCTGTTCCAGGACTTTGCTTGCTATGGGAAGATTCATCTTCAGGGGGGAACTTTTCCTTCCAGATAACACCAAGAGCCAAAGAAATAACCAGTGTTACACCAATTTAGAGACCAAAAGTGAACGGGGCAAGTGAGGGGCACAGGACTTGAGCTGTTATGAACACAGGAATTTCTAAAATGGATGACAGGCAATGCTTAAGAGAAGCTTGTGTGTGAAAAGCAGCTTTTCCTAGATATCTGCAACTGGACTTCTGGGATTTGCTGCTCAAAATCCCTCCTGGGCTTTAGACACCCAATTCAGCCTTTGAGTAGGGCCAAATGGCTTGCTTTTGTTTTAAGGTCTGGCTGGAGGAGTACACAAGCCTAGCTCCAAGCAAATGCAAGAAGCCAGATCCAAAACTTTCTTCACCTCGAAGGGGCCCATTCCTTCTCCCTCACTGATGCTGCAGCACAAGCGAGGCAGGAAAGGCAGAGCTTAGAGCAACCCCAGAGAGGAAAGACAACTCACCATACAAAGTCAGTTCCTCCAGGAACTGCTTTTGGATTTATCTAGCGATAGCTGAGTGACTCTGCAACCTTGTGTTAAGGTACCTGCGCCCTGGCCTCCCACTTTGAAGCAAATATCCCCACTGCTGGCTTACAGAGTCAGGCGCTCATTTGCGCTCCCTTTTTCTCTAACAATCTGGGGTGATGATGGGTAGGGAGGAAGTAAGGACAGCTTTTAACTACTATTTTTGAAAGCCTGGGCATGATTGAAGTGGATATGGTACTGAATGGTCAGGGGATGCAGCTCCACACTGACTTACTATGACTGTAGACACAGAACCAGTTCAATCATTAATTTTTCCAGTCAGGTCTAGCACTTTTGCCTTCACAGCTTGCTGACCAGCCCTGAAAACAAATCCAACAGACCATCACCTTTTCCAAGCCATGCCAGCCTTCCTCCATCAAGGTGAGGAAGGTGATGCAGCCCTCGGACATACCCAAATGTCAGCCCTCCTCTTTGTAACCTGGCAATGCACCTGCGCTCCGAGTCCCACAAAGGACTCCTCGCCCTCATCACGTTGGCTTTGCGGCCACGCGATGCTGCCGAAGATCACATTTCCAGATGGACGACGTTCCCTCGGCCCTGCCTGCTGTCCCAGGGGACCCCTAGCCAGCTCCTGCGCATCTTCTCCTTGGGATTTCAGCTGTTACTTGTACGAGGCGCTGGGATCAGAGAGCAGGGGTGGTGGGGATGCCTTAGTGCCAGACTGATGCCACAGTCCCTGTGTCAGCAGAGATAGGAGATCCTTGCTGCATGGGCAGAACACTGAAGTGGCCCATGACAGGACCAGACTGGGCCCAAGCTGAGAGGGACAGCTCCAGAAAAACCCACAAAACCCTTCAGACAGTGACACAACAAGGCCAGGGCCCCGCGATCCACACCCGGACTCCTCTTAGCACCTTGATGAGGAGCTCCGGGGCCTGGGGTTGCCCCCCAAGTTGTGGGGGGGACCGGCCACCGTGCCGGGGCGACAGTGACACAACAAGGCCAGGGCCCCGCGATCCACACCCGGACTCCTCTTAGCACCTTGATGAGGAGCTCCGGGGCCTGGGGTTGCCCCCCAAGTTGTGGGGGGGACCGGCCACCGTGCCGGGGC